ATTTTTTTTTTTCAAACTTACTTTCAACTACATATTCACAAAATAAAATATTTTACATGTAAACTCAAATTTTTTTTGAATTTTTTTACCATACATTCTCCAAAAAAATCATTATTCAAAAAATTATTTCCCTTCAAAAACTCTTTTAAAAAAATGAGACAAATAGAAGCTTAATTGAAAATTTATTCATATTAACTTAGTAAAGATATATCTAAATTTTCCTACGCGTCAATATTAACATAAAAAAAATCTAAATAAATTTAACAAATTACAAACTGTTTATTTTTTAACATATAAATACCCATAATGGTAAAGAATAGAAATCAATGTTTATACTTTTAAAAATAAAATGTGTTTTAAATTATAAAAATTGAATCGTTAAGGTTGCTCAGTAGTCAGTACCAGAAGTTAATTAGGTGGAAAACTCTAAGCCTGTGATAGGCGGTATCGTGGGCGATAAGTGTAGCTTCTACATTTATTTGGAATCCTAAATGATGATGTTTTGTTATTCTTTGAACTGATTAGTACCTAATTTGTTATTTATTGTTTTTATTAGGAAAAATTCATGTTTCAAAGAAGAATTGGAAAAAAGAAAAATTGATGAAAAATGGTGAAGTCCAAAGTACGGGGATTAACTTGACTATTGGATGCAAAGTTTGGAGATCAAAGTCTACACTCTGGAAATTGAGGGATGAAATTGTATTATTTTCAAAGAATTGGGGACTTGGAACCAAACACCACCATAATGGGCCTCAACTTGGACCAAATAATGAAGACGTGGCGGCAGAAGCATTATTGGGTAATAATACAATTTGGCCTCAAATGCAATTGAAAAAGGAATAAAAGTAAGAAATCAAATTGACCCTATTGGTTGATGTAAAGTGGGATTGGACTCTTGTTAGGAAGAAAAAACGATAGGGCAGCAGCTTGAATTGGAGTCCCCTTTGAAGTCAAACTTGGCGGCTAGGTTAAAATACTATATATTATATATACACACAGAAAGCCGAGAGAAAAGGGAACTACCCAGGGCTGCATTGACTATAATATACACATTCTGGTAGAAAAAGGAGAGGATTGGTGGGCTGAATTATATTTAATATACATCTCAATTCTCACACAAAAAGGTAGGAGAGAGGACGAAAGCATGGGGAATAGATAGACATAAATTGGCGGTTGCTGTTGAAGGCAGAAAAGAAGGGCAGAAATTGGTGCAGTCAAACATTGAGGCTGGTTATTATATACATACACGCAGAAACGTACGTGAACAGTGGAAGACGACACAAGCCCTTGGAATTATTCAAGTTCTATCAAATTTGGTGATGTCGTTCTATTTTTATGCATTTAATTCCAACAATATGCTCGGTAAATCTTCTATTGTATTGGATGAATGATGAATTTTTTTGTTTATTTATTTTAATTCAAAACAAGTAATTTAGTTTAATTATTGTGTTTCTTGATTGGTTTTGCATTTCTATTGAACTATTTGATTGTTTGATCACCAATTGGATAGTAAGTTACTTGTTGTAATGTAGGAATACTCACAATAAATCTAAAACGCGGTAAAATCAACACATAGACAATAGGTATTAGGAATAATCTCTATGGCATGTACAATCACGTGTGATAAATCATGTGAATCAATGCATATCTTTCATATGAATTCGAACTAGAAATAGGATCGGGTCGTATTAAATATATGTTTAATATATCTTGAAAAAGAATGTTGAGTAAAAGTGGATTATCGATTGTCTTGAATGCATGAAATTATCTAGATTACAAATTAAGAATTGAAATAAATGGCAATAGGGGTATTCAAGATTCCAATACGCTCATTCACATATTAGATTAATACATTTTAATCGCTTTCTTAGATTATGATTAGTATAGAAAAACATCAAACTCTCTTTTGTGTTACGACAATATCGAATTTGATAAAAACTATCGAACTAGACATTAAACATTATTCCTCGTGGGACGATAAACTTTTAACTCACTTATCATTACTTGTCAACGATCTCGTATGCTTGCGGGTTTCACACGAACAGTGGGCTTCCAAGAGCCTAGCTTACTTTCCGTCTCACAATGGTAGAGATGGGCAGAGCAACTGGTAGTGGAATCCGATTGTTACAAAAACGGGAATTGACAATATGAAAATATAAGTACAAGAACACAAAATTTACGTGAAAATTCAATATAGAAATAATAACTCGTAAAGGAGGAGAAATTTACTATAACGAATTGAAGGATTACAATATGTGAAGGATGATTTTAAGAAATATAATTGCCATGATATATATAGTACAAAGAAGAGTAAAATAAGGAGAAGTCCTAATATAATAGGCCTAACAAATAATGAAGTATTTGAAGTAGAATTGAAGTGAAAAAATTGCCAAAATCGCAAATAGTTTTCTCATGTATAAGACAACAACTCGAGTGGTCACCTAGCTGTCTGCTTAATGCAAAACCCACTCGAGCGATCCAAAGGCGGCAAGGAGCGCTCTTCATGCCATTTCTTCTCTTTATTGATTTCTTCAAGGTATACTACCAATTCTCAATAAAATTCAGATCACTCCCTAACTCTTAACAAATCTCCATTTGACATGAATTCCAATGCAATGAGTAAAACTTCACTCTTTAACTTCTTAAAAAAAAGAACTTACCAACAAAAAACTCTTCACCCCTTCCACAAAAGTCTCTAAGGGCAAACTCAACAACGAATACCAATCAAGTTCAAACAATGCTCAAGCTTGACTAAAGGGAGTGACTTGGTCATCATATCACCACGATTATCTTGGGCACTAACTTTGCTCACAACAATATCAAATCTTTGCTAAGTTGGGTTTTCACATTTCTTATCTCTCCCTAATCCTTGGCTACTATAGGATCAGGAATGGTCCGGTTCAGTTCAATTCTAACAAGAATCGAACTGGACCCGAAATTTTTGAGGATTCAGTAAGTCGAATCATCGAGTCTAATATAACTATGGAACCATTCAAGTTCAATTACATTCGATTCCTTCTATACTATAATAATTTTTATTTTTAATATTTACAAAGTTACATTAATTATACCAATGACATGTTCAATCTTAGCTCTTGCAAAATAACATAGTCCAATCTTATGAGTTTTTTCGTCTTTCTTTACTGAGTTCTTTATAGTTTCGATTGTTAAAATCACAGGAAGAGGAAGATAGTGAGCACATAATAATCAAGAGAGGCACTATTGAGTTTCAATTCGATTTCTGCATAATCATAGAAACAACACTGCGGTAGAATAACATATTTAAGTAAATTTTAGGTCAATTTGATTAAGTTGAGCTTGGACTGAAAATTAGAAAGAGGAAAAATCATATTTTTGGGTTTGAGCTAAATTAACAAGTTAGCAAATTTATTTAAAGAAACTAAAATAAATTGGCTTATTTAAAATAAATAAATTTAAAAAATTAGTAAGATCCGGTTCTTATTCAATTCTCGATCTAGTATCG